GTTGTGAAGAGAAGGCTGCGAAATTTAGGAAATGAAGTTCCAAGACCGTCAAGAACTGAAACCACTTCTCTTACCTTGCTCCGTTATTGACATGGCACTATGAAAAATACAATGGACCGGTCAGAACCATAGCGTTAGATAAGTGTAGTGTTGCGAATTGCCGAGAAACACTTTTATTCGAAGAATCTGGAACTGACTCTATCACAATTACAAGACCAACGCGAACTCTCTTTTTCTTCCTTGCGGAACGATTCCTAGTAACGTCGAACTAATAGAACGGTTTTGGCAAGAGAAACCTATACGGCAAAGAAGGGCGAAACATTATATGACATGCCCAGGTTTCATTCCAAAGAACCGACGATAGCCATGCCATATCAGGGAACGGTGTTCGATTCATTCCTTGATATTAGACTACGACGACTCCGTCTTGAGATTCGCGACTCACAAGGGAAGGATCCCAAGTCGAAGTGGTCATTTGAAAGGAGTCCTACACTGCAGACGTATCTTTTGATGCTGATTTCGAATCTGCATTTAAAATCTGCCATGGAGGTGGTCTCCAGAGAGCAAGCACAAAAGACATGGTCGCCGGCAGGATCGCAGTTGCGGCTTGGAAAAGAGGTAAGTGACGCATGGTAGGCATGGGACCAAGGATCAAATTTGGTGGGCGTCAGCGTTTTTGCATTTTGCGGAACTTTTTTCTCCTGGTTTAATATTACCGCCTTACGCATTACTTTTTGAACGCAAGAGGTGAATCAGTTCAAACCGTCTTCCCCTCCGCAATGGTATCGATCAGTCTTCGGAGAGGTGGGAGTTGAGGTTCGAAGAAAGTAGAAAGTACCATCCAGTCGGGCTCCGCCACCACCCACTCTTTCACGGTTTTGCCTTGCCTCTCCGCCGATGAACACCTACTTACTGTCACTTGTTTACTTCCACTTCTATGCTCCTAGGTTTAACAAGTTTCTCTCTTACTCATGGCACGCTGCCTGCTTCTTGAGCACACATCCAGGCGATTATGAGACGCCTGCATAGTTCTGCTTTCCATCTGGTGTAGAAAGTACTTGTGAAGAAACAGCCTGCGGTGAAATTTTCTCCATTGCTCTCATAGTGGAAAACTGCTCTGTTCTGAAAATTCCGTGCTAGATTATCTGCTATCTGTCTGCATCTGCTTATAGTAG